ATGCCCAACACATTGTAGCTGCTCAGAAAATGTTTCTTCTCTCTTTGCTGATCCCTGTCCTGGATTCTTTACCTACTACGTTCATTCATCCTGACAGGTTGGCACTGTCTCCGTCCCCATCGTAGAGGAGGAACCAGGCACAGAGAGCTTAGGAGACTTGTCATAATTGCTTAGACGATAGCCTTTACATGATGGGGCCTGGAATTGGACCCATATCTAGCGCCCTGCCTTCCTGGTTTGTTGTTGTGGGGCTTTAGACCTTGCTGGTAGAGCATCAGAGTATGTGATCAGCCCCTGGCTGTGGGAGGGGCCCCGAGCAGGGTCTGGTTGCGTTTGGCTCTTTCTGAGAGACCCGAAATGAGATCGTGTGGTGTATTTTGAGGAGGTTGTGGGTCATGGGTCCGGGTTTGCTTGTCTCTCGCTGGATGGGGAGTGATTGGCTAGCAGGCAGGCCTGCAGGGGGAGGCAGGTGGGTTGGGAATAGTGGGTAGAGTATAAAGCCGGAGATGTGGGCCGAGGTGAGTCTGAGCATGGGTGGGGAGCATGATGAGCGTGGTGGGGCCTATGGTGCTGTGTGTGTGGTTCATGGGACTGCCCATCCCTCTCTCCAGAACCTCCTGCTGTGTGTCCAAACTGTGGTAGTGACCATGTGGTTCTCCTGGCTCTGACCGTGGGAGCCCCCAGTGGGGAGCAGAGACAGGAAGAGCAGTTGCCAGCTTCCTCGCAGTCCCCCAGCAGTGTCCATGATGACTCTCCTGGTGACAGTGACCACAGCACCAAGGCTGACAGTACCCCATCTCAGGCACTGGGCTCCCAGGACCGCCACAGGTGGAGCCTCAGTCCCCGTGAGTATAGGCCAAACAAGACAGGGCTGGTGTTTGGGGAGGGAAGGGGCACTCATGGGGGGAGGTGAGATGGAGCTGTGTAGCTGGGTAGGCTGATGGCCCATTGCTTGTCCCCAGCCCCTGAGCGCCATGGCCTCCGCTCTGTGGATCACCGTCTCCGGCTCTTCCTGGATGTTGAGGTGTTCATCGATGCCCAGGAGGAGTTCCAGTGCTGCACCAAGGTCTGTGTCAGCCTGGTGCTGCCCTGTGCTCCTGACAGGGTGCCCGCTTGTTCCATCACATCCGGTTGAGTCATAGCAGTTGCTCTGGAACTGCCAGGTCTCGCATCCCATTTCTACTCTTGCAGTTCCTTGCTGTGTATCTGTGGACACGTTCCTTGGTGTCTGAGTCTCAGTTGTGGATCCTTTGTAAGGGGATAATACTTACCTTTCAGAGTGCAGTAGCATCAGTGAGAGCACCTGCCCAGCCCAGCACCTGGCCTCAATAAATGGACCTCCTGTCATTATTATAAACACAGAATGTCACTGGACCCCTCTATTGAGCACCTAGCAGGTGTNCTGGCCTCAATAAATGGACCTCCTGTCATTATAAACACAGAATGTCACTGGACCCCTCTATTGAGCACCTAGCAGGTGTGGGACACTTGAGGATCTAGAAAATCAGTTGTGCCCTCAGTCTTGTATTCTTTTTTTTCTTTTTAAAAAATATATCTTTATTGATTTCAGAGAGAGGAAAGGAGAGAGAGAGAGAGATAGAAACATCGATGATAAGAGAGTCATTGATCAGCTGCCTCCTGCACACCCCCGACTGGGGCTCCAGCCCGCAACCTGGACATGTGCCCTGACCGGGAATTGAACCCAAATCACCTGGATCCTAGGTCAACGCTCAACTGCTGAGCCACGCCCAGCTGGGCTAATTTTATATTCTGATGTGAGAAACAGATGATGGTCATGTGATATGGAAGTGCTGGAATCAGGCAAAGGCCCTAGGGGGCATCTGATCCAGCCTGAGTGGGCCAGGGAAGCTGCCCCTTCCTGGGGAGGTGGTGCTACACTAGGCCCTGAAGGATGAGTTAGAGGAGGGAGGAAGGGGATGTTGTAGGGAGAGGAAGCAGCATGTGCGTGAAGGCTTGAGAGAGTAGCTAGTGGGGAGAACTGCCCATTGTGGGGCAGCCAGGATGTGGGGGGTGAGGGGCAGAGTACGAGAGGAGTCTGAACAGGAAGCAGGGGCTGGTTTAAGAGCAACCTCATGTGTCTGCCAAGGAGTTTGGACTCAATCCCGAAGCCCGCGGGAGCCACTGAAGGACTGGAAGCAGGGGAGTGGTGATCAATTTTGTGTTAGAACAATTAGCCTGGCAACGTGGAGGGTGGGTTGGAGGGGATGAGGTGACAGGCAGGGAGACCTGCTAAGAGGCTGCTGCTGTGGAGTGCAGGCAGGGGCTGTGGGATGGAGACGATGGTGGATAGAGAGCGTGGTCAGTGAAGAGGCTGGAATGGATGAGCAGGGGCAGGGGCAGGGGCAGGCTGAAGGTGCTTTCTCAGTAACTTGGCTCTCAGTCTGGCAGCTGCCTCCCTAGTCCTCTCTGTTTCTCATCAACTTCTTTTGCTCCTTAGGTGCCACTGGTGTTGGCAGGCCACCCTGGGGAGTGTCTGTGTCTTGTGGTTGTGTCTGACCACAGGCTTTATGTGTTGAAGGTGACAGGGGAGATCTGGTGAGTGAGTAGGGCTGCGGCCAGGAAAGGGTCAGGGTTCCCCTGTGGACCTCACTCCACTCTTCCTCTTTCCTTCCACTCTGCCCCTCCTTTCTCCACAGTGGGCCTCCAGCTAGCTGGTTGCAGCCAACCCTGGCCATTCCCCTGCAGGACCTGAGTCGCATAGAGCTGGGCCTAGCAAGACAGAGCCTGCGCCTGGAGTGGGCAGCTGGGGCAGCCAGCTGTGTCCTGCTGCCTCGAGATGCCAAGCATTGCCAGGCCTTCCTAGAGGAGCTCACTGGTGAGAAAGAAAAGGGAGAGGCAGGGGTTGGGGGGCCTTCATAGATCCTCCCACAGTTGAGACAGATGTGTAATGAAACTCAGCCCTCAGAGAAGTTCCTGAAATCTAGAAATACGGAGAATGGGAAGGTATTGAGAGGAGTGAGTTTGGGAAAGAAGAGGTGGAGTCATGAGGGCTCCCTGTCTCTGGCTGGCTCCGTCCAGATGTCTTGCAGTCTCTGCCCCCAACCTGGAGGAGCAGCGTCAGAGCCACGGAGGAGGAGGTGACCCCAGAGCACCGACTCTGGTGAGTCAGTGGGAGGGTGAGGCTGGGGTTGGTGCTGAGATGGCTGCTCTTGGAACACAGGCTCTCTGTTCACAAGTCCCAGCCACCTGTCCTCAGGCCCACAGACCTGGTCCTTCCTCCCTGCTCTGCCCCCTCCTGGTACTTCCCACCCCTAGCTGACCACTCTTTCGGGGCTGTCACCTTCCCCCCAGGCCACTGCTGGAAAGAGACTCTGCCTCGGAGGCTTCCCTGTTCTTCTACCTTCAGGTGTTCCTGGTTGAAGGTGAGGCCTCTGTACCCCATCTTATCCCAGGCTGCTGGCCTGGCCACCAGTACCTCTGTGTGTCCTTGTAGCAGTTCTTAGTTCCTGGCATCTGGACTTCCTCTCACTCATGGGCTTACCCAAATGACCCCCTCAGGGTTCCTGGTCTCCAAGGGTAGGGCCAAGAGGTACCCAGAAACCTTTGCTCTCAGGCCCAGGCTTTCTGTGAATGGAGCAAGTTGGCTGGCTGTGCTGTGCCTCATCCTATTGGAGAAGGCGAGAGTGACCCTCCTTTCTGACTTGGCTGGGACGTGGGGCAGAATTCCTTTGTCTTGGGCCTCAGAGGTTTTGGAGGCTAGAGATCCCTGAAGTATGGAAAAGGGAGGGCCTTGGCCCCAGATGCTCAGGCTGCTTTGTGGCCATCTCAGCATGGTTTGCCCCCCTTCTCCCAAGCAGTGCTGAGACTCTGTGCAGGGGTGTGGGGTTCTCCGTGGCCTTGCACTATGGACCTTACCCTGCCTCTTTTCCCCAGGCCCTGCAACCTGTCCTGTGTCCCTGTTGCTGACGCTGAACACCTTGTACCTGTTAGATGAGGACCTTGTAGGGTCCCAGGCGCAAAGCCCTCTTCCAGCAGCGTCTGGTGAAGCCTCTGAGAAGGCCCTGCCCTTGGGGCCAGGCCCTTCCTTATGTGTCAGGGAGCAGCAGCCATTCAGCAGCTTGAGCTCAGTGCTGCTCTATCGCACAGCCCCGGAGGACCTGCGGCTGGTTTTCTACGATGAGGTGTGTGTGCATGTGTGTGTTTGTGTGTATGTGACTGTGTGAGGGGGCGGGCAGAGTTGGTTTGTGTGTGGGAAATGGGTCTAGGACAGCTGGGAATTGGGGGCAGTATGGAACTCACCGTAGACAGTCATGGTGGGGAGAACAGAGAAGTAGGGTACAAGGACCTAGTTGGAGGCTCACTGGGTAGCAGCTGTGAGCAGTGGAAACACCCTGACCTTGGCGCCCAGGCTTGTGTTAGATGGCTGGCCTTGAGTGAAGCATCCTGCAGCTTCCGCCTTGGGTTTGCACTTGATTGGACCCTTCTGCCAGCCATTTGATCTTCACCTGCATGTGAGGAGGTGCTGTCATTAGTCCTATTACTGATGAGGAAACTGAAGTTTGGGGATGTTAACCAACTTGCCCAGGTTTCAAATGGTAGACCTAGGAACTGAACCCCAAGTAATTCCTTAGAATGGGCTCCAGAACTTACATTCTGAAAAACAGGGCAGATGAAAGAAACAAGATAGTAAATGTGAAAGCCCTTTGGGGGCCTTCAGTAAGGGTCCATCAGTTCTATTCCAGAAGTCAGGATCATTCATGGGGAGAGACACAGGCTCGGGGAAGGGAAGAGGCCATGAGCAAGGACGGGCAGTGGGTCCTCCCCTGGCCCTCCCCTCCCGTGCTCTGGTGTGGCCCTCTGCGAGTCTCACCTCACCACTCTTGTTCTGCCAGGTGTCCCGGCTTGAGAGTTTTTGGGCACTCCGTGTTGTGTGTCCGGAGCAGCTGACGGCCCTGCTGGCCTGGATCCGGGAGCCCTGGGAGCAGTTGTTTTCCATCGGACTCCGAACTGTGACTCAAGAGACTCTAGACCTTGACCTGTGAAGTCTCTGTGTTGACCCCACCCTGGCCTTAGGGGCTATGGCCGCAGATGTTCTCTTTCCAGGCTCTGGCTGTGGACTTCCCAGCCTTTGGGTGCTGGCCAGTGAGGCCCCAAATGATCCATGGCTCAAGGGAAGGACGAGAGAAAAGGTCAGGCCTCTGGGTGACCTGGCCTGAGGAGACAGACTGAGTGGCCAGTAGGAATGTTTCTCCTGCACTTTTCTCAGGTATCAGTAAAGCTGTTTTCATTCTAGATGTCATGGGTGTATTTAGACACGTCACTCGTCACTCGTGAGGCCTGTGGTTGTTCTACCTCTTGTAACAGGAACTGCTCCGCCCACTGAGGAGCCTTGTTTGTAGATGAGACCCTGTCTCCACCCCTACTCTGCCCCACTGATGGGATCAAGTTGGACTCCTGACCCCTGGGCACCAGTCCTTAGCCCCCAACACCTGCCATGTGGCCCAGCATGAAAACCATTGCCTAACAAATAGCCAGGAGGGCCAGTTAGATTCTCACTGTCCTGTTGCATTTGGGAACTAATGAGGACCTGAGGCCATTGGCAGTGGGGGCTGAATGTGAGAGGGTGACTGGAGAGATGGTATGTGAGGTTGGAGTTGGTATCTGGTGGATTCTGCTCTTGCCTTCTCTCAGCACTGCCTCACTCCGCTGGGGGCAAGTGGGGTTGAGCCCACGCCTTCACCTCTGTCTCATGGCTAGGGTGATTGGTTCAGGAATGCTTATGTAGCCCCTTTGGCCTGCCAACACCCAGTCCTGGCCTTTTGCTGGAGCAATCAAGAAGGAAGCAAGTTTCCCCATGAGGGTTGCTGAGAGGATAAGCCTGCAGCTGCTGGCCTGAGGGGAAAGCTTTCCTGGAACTGGAACTTGCAGAGAGAAGAGAGCTAAGAGGTGGAGTAAGCAGGGGTAGGCCCTGGAGGTGTCTTTGGAATCCCTTGGTCCAACTGTGCCTGGAGGCAAATAGCCCTGGAATTTTAGGTGATGTGAGCTAAGGGAGACCCCTCCTTTTGTCTTTTAGGCTTAAGCTGATTGGAGCCATATAGGAGCCACTGAAAATGACCTAACTCCATGAACCCCCGTTCTGACTCGAACTGTCTTAGTAGGGATCTGCTTGTATCCAAGAATGTGCACTGTGGAGTAGTGGCACCCACATATTTGTGTAGACAGGCCTTGCCCTGTTAAGAGGGCTCTGTCTGAGTGTGTGTGTGTGGTTTTGAGTACTAACGGACGATCCGGATCTCATCTATGGAGTATTTACATGCCAGGTGCTGAGCTAAGTGCTTGGCAGTCTGCTCTTCACAGGAGTCCTGGGAGGTGGGTGGCATCTTGTTACAGGTGAGGAAACTGAACCTTAGTGGAGTTAAATGACTTGCTCAAGATCACGCCAATAAATGGAGGAGACGTGATGAGTTTAGGCTTATATAACTTCAAAGCTGGGGCTGTAAGCCAGCAAATCACTGGGCAACACTGCCCCCCTTCCCTGCAGGAGATGGGTCTGTGTGCCCAGCCCCACTCACAGGGGTGATTGCCTACCCTTCCCTGGGTTGAGGATCTCCTGAATAATACTAGACTTGTCCAGGACAGGCAGATCCAGATGCACTGTATTTGAAGTCTCTCTTTCCCCTAGGGTGTCAGGTGAGATGTTAGGTGAAATATTAATTCATGGGCCATTCTCACCTCTTCCTTTGGAGAAAACAAAGATTCCAGATCTTTAGGTTTTCAGTGAAAGGGCTAAGGTGTAAAAAGAGATTGCAAAGGGACCATAAATATATAAGAGCTCCAGGGTGGGGGAAGGGGAGAGATTTTAGGGAAGAGCATTAGAAGCAGTGGAGGAATAAGTCCCTTCACACTGGAGGACTTTTAGGATGGGGGGCTCTGTGCCTTGCTCTCTGTCATGCTCCCCATGCCACCGAGGCAGCCGGAGATGGCAGTTTGGAAGGACTGGCAGGATAGGGCTGGTGACAGTTGTCCAGATCTCTTTTGCCTGGAGAAGGGAGGTGTCCCAGAGAATCCAATGGGCCCCAGAAGTCAGCGGAGAGCGTTCTGGAGAGTGTTCCAGGGCCACTTCAGAAAGATGGGACAGGCCTAGCCCCTAAATGGGGATGTGACCCAATTAGATGTGAACTGATTGAGTTTAAATCACTGGGCTCATTATAAGGATAAAGTTGAGTTATAGAGAAAAAAATTGACATATTTGCATACCTGGGGACTACTACATTTCTGGAATTCCCATCTGTTTTTGTTGGAAAGGTCAACAGCAAAAGATTTAGAAGGTGTGGACCTAGAGGGCAAGGGGGTGGTTCTTTAATAGTGGCCTTGAAGTTACTGCTTCCTCCTCAACAGGCCTTCAACTTAGGGTTCCTAGGGGAGGCATGTGTTCTGATAACTTGGTCAGATCTCACTGTTAAATTTTGTTTTGGGGAAGTCCAAGGCCCCCCCCCGGAGGGAGATGGTTGTAATAGGCTGGAGAAGTCTTAGATCCCCCCGTAGCCCAGTTCCACCCTTGACCCAGCCAGCCCTCTACAAACCCTGTGGCCTGGTGGATGGAATCCTGTGGGAAAGAATCTGTGCAGTGTCAGCCTCAGGCTTCATTCACGGAGGACAGGGAGTCCTTGGATTCCAAGGGAAAGGACTGCTGGGCCCCAGGTAGGAGAAGCCTAGAGGGTGGTTAGGCCCACACTTACCAGTTCTGCCTTTCCTGATCCCCCTTGTGGGTCAGCATTGTTCCTGTCCTGAGATGCGTGCATTACATATTCATTCACACGTACACTGAATGATTGAGTTTATACCTTCACTGGACAGAGATGAATAGGACACAGGTCCTACTGCAGAGCACATTAAAGCTTATGTCAGGGCAGGAGGGATTCCCAGTGGCTCATAAACTGCCTTCTGAAAGCAACAACATTCCCTGGGCCAGGACTGCCAGGAGGGCCCGGGAGTCAGTATTTAAAGCTCTCTTGAAGATTTGTAGAGGAACACCCATAAGTAATGATGAGGGTAACAATCTAAGAGCTAGGGCTTAGAGAGCCCTTCCTATGTTCCATGCACTGTATAGAGCAGCTGATCTTCTCCAGTGTTTTCCTCTGATCACAAGATACGGAGCCAATTTTCTCAAGAAAAGAGCCATCAGTTTATAGACATGACCCAGACCTGGAAGGCAGGTGCTGAGGCCCCAGACACAGGGTTTCTCCTGTCTGGTGGAGCCTGATGGGTTCTCTTTCCCATCCCCAGCAAGGCCCTGGCTGGAGAGTAGGGAGGAGATGAAGTGAATCTCAGAACTGGCCAGTTGGGAAAGGCTGGCTGGGGTGAAGTCCCTCATTGACAGGCCTGCAGAAGCGTGGAGGGGCCCAGAAAGGACTGTGCAGAGGTTCAGAAAAGAAGTTCACCTACTTCTGTTTTGCTCAGAGCTGGCCTGAATTTTTAATTGAAGCAAATTAAAACTTCCCAAAAATATTAGTCCACTTTCCTGGCAGCGTGCACACTCCCTTACCCTTCAGTGATTTTGCACCATCTGCGAACAAGAGCCAGTGTGGGTCCTGAGGAAGCCTTGCCCAGCCTTTGGCCCAGAGCTGCTGTCCATGAAGGCTGGGCCCATTTATTTACAAGCACTTTCCCAGAAGCCCCTTCAGGTTGTGGTCCAGATGGGGCAGGATCATCTACAAGCATTTTTAGGGTGCTTTGCAAAGTGGTGTGAGGCTGGGGCAGTTCAAAGAAGAGCTTCTTCCATTTCTTTGTGCTTAAGGTCTCTGGGAACATTTCTGTTTTCTTTAACAATTCAGCACCATCCTCTGCACCCTTTGTCCTGTGGGTGCTCTTTCGTTGGTGACCCAAAAGACAAAGATGTTGGTGTTGCTTGCCAACTATCACCACTCCTTGGAGTGGGTGACTTTTAGCTCTGCGCCCCTCCAGGAAAAGGCGCCAGGATGCCCCTGCTCAGACCCTGTCACGCTCTCAGCAGATGGGACTGCTTTGCCACTGCCACTCGTAAACAGATGTCAGTCTTCGGGGCTTGCCTTACACACCCTGCACTGTCCCCGGAGATCGATTCATTTGTTCAGCCTGGCCTTGCCCCTCCAACAAGTGCTTATTGATCGCCTGCCTCTGGCCTTGGGCTTGCTGGCAGTGGCGGTGGAGGGAAAGGATTCACTCCCTGAAACTGTATGATGCTGTATTTTCTGTAGGAAAGAGGTGGGAGGGGATAACATACATATTCATGTCTAACTTCTGTTTGTGTAAATAAATCCTAGAGGGACAGACAGAAAGGGATAGTGGGGGACAAAAAAGAGCACAAGGCAGAAAGGGGAGGGAATGGTGATTTTTAGTTGCTTTTATATTTTATCTAAAATATTTTAAAACTCTCAAATGTATTATGATTAAAAATTACATTAAAAATTTAAAAATTTATATGATACCCTAGGGGGTCAGTGGCCAAACTGAGTGGGTTCCTATGATTTTGGAAGGGGGGAGTGGGTCAGCTTGAAGGACCCATCTCTCTCTCAATGGGAGAGGGTTCATCTTTGCTGATGAGTCATTTCACGTGGACTGAGGGGTAAGGTCCTTCCTACTCCTTTGCCATAATGCTGGGGTGGCTTCTGAGAAGACCCCGCCCAGACTGGTTGCTGCTGCTGGAAATTCAGCCACGTTTCTCTGTGATGCTTTGCCCATCTCTGGGCGCGTATAGTATTTTGCATCTACCCACTCAAAGGCCAGTGTGGTGTGATGGTCATATTGGAGAATCACAGTGAATTTAGATTTAAAAAACTCAGGACTATGCCTTAGTTTTGCAGCTCACTATTTAACCACGAGCAAGGAACTTGCCCTTCCTGATCCATGGCGCCTTCATCTACCGAGAGGGCGTGAGGCTAATTGACTACTTGCCCAGTTCACAGAATTGCTGAGTGCAATAATGTACGTGGAAGTACTGTGTGAACCATACAGCATGAAATAAATAAATGCTGATTTAAAAACCTACCTGTCTGTTGTTACAACCTGCTTTGTTGCCTAGAAATGCCCTTTGCCGTCAGAAGAGGGAAAACCTGCATCTCACTGTCCATGTGCCTATGAGTGGCTGTTTGTCCACCACGCTTCAGACTCTGCTGGGAATGTGAGCAAGTCGTGGCATGTTCTGTCTTGGCTCATCCTTTGTCATTTGATCATCTTGGACTTAGTGACTTCTCTGTCCTCCACAAAAACATTCTTCAGTTTATTAGTCACTATAATTACTTGTGCACTTGTTCTCAATTCCGCAGACGCTTGTCGAGCTCTTGAGTGTGCCAGGCTCTATGTGAGAGGAGTGGGGAGTGGAACATAAGGTTGAATCAGGCATGCTCCAGCTTTTAAGGAGCCTACGGTTAAAGGAGACGTTGCCTTGGAGCTGGGTCCTGAAGATGGGGAAGATTGCAGTGGGAAAATATCACAATGATGGCCGTTTTGGAGCCCCTGCTTTGTGCTGGTCTTGTACTAATTATTTTACTTTATTATTTTTTTAATCGTCACCCAAGGATATTTTTCCTATTGCTTTTCAGAGAGAGTAGAAGGGGGAGAGAGAGAGATCGATTGATTGCCTCCTGCACTTGTCCCAACTAAGGCTGAGGATTGAGCCTGCAACCGAGGTACGTGCCCTTGGCCAGAAGCGAACCTGGGACCCTTCAGTCTGTGGCTCAACGCTCTAACCACCGAGCCAAACCAGCTAGGGCACTAATCATTTTATTGACATTACCGCATTCAGTACAAGCCTGAAGGAAAAGTATGATCTCTATTTTACAGGTGAGGAGGCTAAACTCAGGTTAAGAAAGGTGATTCTTGCCAAGGGGATGCTGGATCTCAGACTCGGGCCCTTTCTGTCTTTCCCTGAAATGAAACCTATTACAGTGCCCATCCTGGTTCACTCTCTAGTCCTTTTTTTTTTTAATATATCTTTTTATTGATTCCAGAGAGAGGAAAGGAAAGGGGGAGAGAGAGAGAGATAGAAACATCAATGATGAGAGATTCATTGATCGAGCCCACAACCTGGGCATGTGCCCTGACCGGGAATCGAACCCTGATCGCCTGGATCCCAGGTCGACGCTCAACCGCTGAGCCACGCCTGGCCGGGCTCTAGTCCTTTTAAATCTGTCTCCTTGTGGCATCAGGTTCCAGGGGTACCACAGTCTACCAGAAAAACCACCCAGATCCTCAGCACCCAAATATCCAGACAGGTCTGTTCTTTTCCACATGGGGCTGTTCCTGAGCTTGTCTTTCTTCCCAGAATGCTCTCCTCGCCCTTGCTTCCCAGCCTGCTGGGCATTGCATGGCTGATTCTTTCTTTAGGTCTTTGCCTAACTGTCCCTCCTTACGGAGTGTGTCCGTGACTGCTTTCCCACTACAGCACTTGCCACATTTCCTAATGATGAATTTATATGTTTGCTTGTTTGTTGTCTGTAAGCTGCCCAGGGAAGGGACTGTGTCAGGGTTTTCACTGATGTATACCCAACGCCTGGTGTACAGTATAGAGTGAATGACTGGGATTTGGTTTACACTCTTGGATATGCGTGAAATATTATTTTACTGCGCAATAACCTTTTGTTTGAACCCCCCCATCCCCGGGGCTTGGCAGGACTCACTGACCTCACTCATTCCCCCTCCCCCCCTTTTTGGGGAAACCTCCTTCTGCTTTGCTGACTGGGGAGGGCAAAGGCTCGCTCCTCCACCCCCACCCCAGCTTCTGGCCAAGACACTGCATCTACTCTCATTACCTCTTTCTTTTTCCTCCTCTGCAAACCTCCCTACCCATTTTCCAAAACAGCAAAATTCAAAGAAGCCCACTTGCTTGGGAGGGGTTGGGGGAGGAGAGAGAAAGGATATAGCTTCACATGTCACAATGCCATCCCACCCACAGATGAATCTGTGCCTCTGTAGCTAAAAGGTGGGGTCCATAGGGGTGGGAGAACCTCCAGGGACAGGCGGTGCTGGCCTGAGATTGGCTTTGTTTCAAAGCTGAGTCCAGATTTACTGAGGGACACCAGGATTATGACCGGATTAACCACTGCAGAGTCACAACAATAGTAAATAATAAGTGACATTTATTGAGCACTTATTGTGTGCCAAGCATCGAACTGGCATTTTATATATAGCATCTCTAACTTCGGAGTCCGGGCTCCTTCTCAATGCCATGCTACTTCTCCTGTAAAAATAAGGTCTTACTCATCAGGAGGCCAGTCAATAGCAAATGACACCGGGCCCTCCTCTCTGGAGAGCAGGGAGGAGATATTCTTGACAAGCGGGAATTACAGGTCAGTCTAAGTGACAACCTGGGGCTACCTGAACCCACATCCTACTATCTTCTAGTAACTCTCTAGCCTGCTAAATCAGGGTTACAAAGGCAAAGATTGGTCTACTGGCCCAGGAGTGTGAGAGTCCACCCTGGTGGAGGTAAAAGTGGTCCCAATCTTTTTGTCTTTTATTTCAGCATGAATTGACATGAGTGGTATCTGGGGGACTTGTTGCCCTTGTAAGTGTAAGCCAACTTCCACTTCTTTCCTGTCTGTCTGTTCATCATTTTTTGTGTTGCAACTTACCCGAGGGTCTCCCAGTACTTGTGAGTCTTCGATCTGTAGTAGAGAAGCTAGCTAACATTTACTGAGCTCTTGCTTGGTGCCAGGCACTGTTCTAGCGCTTTACATGGTCGACCTTATTTCATCGTCTCTACAACCCAGCTATTATCACCGTTACGCAGATGGGGAATCTGAGGCCCGTGGAGGGTAAATCGCTTGCTCAAGGTCATGCAGTTGTCAAGTGGCGGAGCTGGGCTATGAACTCAGGCCACTTGGCTGCTGACGGACATCATGCTTAACCGCTCCCCCATATGGTTCCTAGTAGCAAAGAGGCAGTCTCCTTAAAAAAGGTCATCTGAGAAATTAGTGGTGGGGATGTTCAAGTCAGACTGGGCTGTGGAGGAGGGTGCGGGGGTGGGGGGGCTGCTCTGTGCTTCTGCCTTTGCTGTTACCTTTCCTGTCACCTTTTGAGTATCTACAGGCTCCGAGCTGGGAGCTGACAGGGCAGCCACACGCACATATTCTCTCTCTCTCACACACATATACTCACAGTGGGCATCCTTTGTGCATATAAGGGGCATTCTTGTCACAGGAACGAAGACCCCATTGGGAACACTCTGTACAGGACCGGAGGCAGTAGGACACAATGGAAAAAGCTCCAGGATGCCAGAAGATCTGAGTAGGAACGATGAAAGTGGACACTGACGCCTAATCAGATGAGCTGGTACAAAACACCTAGGGACTTGCAGCATCTCCACCCTGAAAGGAGAGATGAACTTGGGTGTCTAAGTTCATAAGATCCTTTCACAGGAGATTGCACTCCATCATCCCACAGCTAGGGGATAGAGGAAAGGGCTTGCAAGGCTTGAGACCAAAGCTGCTGACTGCGGGTGGGGTGGGGGAGTCTCCAGCTGGGAAGAGAATGGGAGTCTGAGGGTTTCAGGAAGATCAGGACCTGTGGCTGGGCCTCAGGTGATGCCCATAAGGCATCAATGTCCAGGGCCCAGCGCACGAGGTCCCATGCTGGCAAGACCCGCTGCAGGCTGTCTTGGTATTACAGTTGCTGCTGTCAGAACTTACTGGGTAGAAGACCGGGACTGGAGCCATGACGACTAGAGAGCCCTCCCCAATGTCCCCACTGGGAAAGGCGCCAAGGTTCTTGCTTATCTCTGAGGAAGTGAAGGCTCCTCCCAAACAACACTCGAGGTGGAGACTTGGAACCAAATTACCTGGCTCAGAGCGATAAAGGATTGGGATGGTGTATTAGTGTGTGAGGCTGCCGGATGGAGTGGCTTAAATAACAGGAATGTATTATCTCACAGTTCTGGAGGTTGGGAGTCTGAGATCAAGATGTCTGCAGGGCTGTGCTCCCTCGGAAGGTGCTGGGAAGGATCTGTTCCAGGCTCTCTCCCAGCTCCTGGTAGTTCTTGGCTTGGGGCAGCATAACTCCAGTCTTCACATGGCGTTCTCCCTGCGTGTGTCTGCTTCCAAATTCCCCTTTTTGCATGGACACTGGTCATATTGGAAAAGGAGCCACCCTACCCCAGCATGACCTCATCTTAACATCTGTAACTATGCTATTTCCAAATAAGGTCACATTTGGGAGGTACTGGGGATTAGGACTTCAACATATGAATTTTGGGGGACCACATTTCAACCCTTAACAGATGGGTCTCACACCCTGAGACTCCGGGCACAATTCATACACACTGCTTATACACAGCTGACTCCCACACTGGTGTCTTGTTTTACTCTCTCAACACCCTGTGAGGCAGGGTGACCAAGTACATTCCTTTTGGTGAAACAGACCTGCAGTGTTAAATGGCTGTGGCTCAGGCGCTCACCTTCTATACACCAGTGATTCCCTGTGGGCAACCTGCTGCCCAGCTGTGACCATGGCAGGTTAACAAGCCTCCCCTGAACCTCAGCTGTGGGCCTGAGATGGGCTTGGAGAGGGACTAGCACACGGCTACTGGCATAAAGCAAAGTGGGTGTTGGACAGACACTAGCTGCCCTCCCCCTCTCCCCCTCTCCCCCTTCTGCAGTTCTGAATGTAGAAAAATCTTCCTTTGGGTTGAGCTGAGACCCAGATGAGGGCAGGGTTTGGAGAGGGTTAATTACAGATTCAAGGTCACGGTTAAACTTTTCCCTCTCACCGGAGCACTATACTGGCCCGCACCCTTCCCCCCTCCTCCCAGGGGTTAGTTTCCTCTCCTAACAGCCCCCCCTCCTTATGTTTTTCTGAAGGATTCAGAGACGTGGCCTTAAGCATATTATTGAGTGGCTGCTAATGCACATGGCCTGGCGCTAGATGCCCAGTTTCAGAGAGACCCCAGAGAGTCAAACTGAGATCCAGCAGTCTCTTCCAAAGACCTTTGCCCTTGGAAAAGGAGATGTGACCTCAAGGAGTGGGAGACCAGGGGGAGGAGATATGGAAACAGCCACGGAATCCTAGACCCATGAAACTTTGGAACACTCCTATTCCAGGCCCTGCTGGCTACAGGTGGGGAAAGGAGGCGGTGGGTGGGAAGGGTGGTAATGTACCAAGGTCAAATGTTGGGTGGTGCCCAGTGTTCGAAGCCGGGCTTTAGGGGCTATATTGGAACTGAAGGGATAGATGGTGGGTGCTTCCCTGTGTTGTGCACTCAGTTCCTAAGGTTGGAGGGGCTTATGTCTGTGGAGGGCCTGGAGAGGGGCTCTTGAGGCGAGGGGAGGCTAAAAGCAAGGTGAG